GAAGGGCGTCGACCTCTTCTTCCGATGCCCATCCTGCTCTGCTCTGACATTTGTGTTGTGTCTGATTGGTCTGGATGCTTCTAAAAAGTGTCGATACTTCACATCCCTGAGTCCAGACAAATCGAAGTCATCAAGGTCTGCAAGAGCAATTGAGTAGGATTAGAAAGTCTATTTGTTTTTTTTTTGCACACACATTTACCATGAAAAGTAGCTGAATTTTTATTTATTTATTTTTAAAGCAAAAACTTTGGATGGTGGCAAAATTCCTGATAATTTCTCCATCTGTTATACCGCTTATCCTGAAGAGGGACACACAGGTCACCAGTCTATTGCCACCAGTCTATTGCCAGTTAACCTAAGTGGCATATCTTAGGACTGTAAGCGGAAACTGGAGTACCCGGAGAGAACCCACACAGGGACAGTGAGAACATGCAAAATCCGTACAGAAAGGCGTCAGGTCAGACAGGGCTTAAAAATGCAACCTTCTTGCTGTGAGGCAGCGCTAACCACTATGTCACCATGTCACCCCTGATACAACCCACTGTAATGAAACAGTGTATCTTTATAAGTCTTGTACTGTGTATTCACAAATACGGGAGTCAACACCAACTACCAGAAAGGTGTACTTAATTTGACAGATACTTAACCCCACAGGTTAACCTCATTGCATCACCTTACTGCAAGTTAACTGCTGCTTTATCTGCTCCTGCTTATAAATAGCATTTAGCTGTGCAGTAAAAAATCTCAGGACCATATAATACAGTAATATCCTATGTGTGTTGCAATGAGTTATTGCAGCTTTTAAGCTCACTGTAGTATAAAACGTCTGGAGCCTGAAGATGCGAGATGCTGGTTTGACATTTCGAATGCTAGTGCAAGTCTGCAGGTGTGTAAAAAACATGAATGAGTAACTTCTTCCTAAGGAACAGTTGCTGAGATGCCCTTGGGTGATTTGACCCACACACTGAATCACCGATGCTCGTCAGTGGTCTTTAATGTAAAGATGAATTTGTGCTCAACAGCATTCGTGTGTGAACAAGGATGTGCATGCATAGCAAAAGCCTTAAAGAGATTATTCTACAGTGATGCATGGGTGGTAACCCATCTGATTTTAGTGTTAAGTGAAAATCAAATATGCTCAAGCAATAATACAGATAGGCCTAGTTCTATCAACTATATCACTGGAATGCTGCACACATGAGGAAATATGCCCTAATGTTCTGGTAACAAGCTCATTCACCCTTTTGAGGCATTACTTGAAGTTAATTCTGCACCATTATACAAGCCAGTGTACCAGTCAGTGCTCTAACACAGCTGCCCCACTGAATAAAGCATTCATTGTGATGCCAGGTGGCAAACCTCAGAGGATGTCTTAAGACATTAAGCCGGGATTTACAGTATGATCCCCAAAACAGACTGGAGGTCATCAGACCCAAATAAACTGCTTCCTTTGGATAAGAAAAAAAAAGCAAGTCAATGCAATCACTGTTTCACTGGCATCTGACATGAAGCTTTGAGCTTGAGATGATGCATTTGAGAGAAAAACAAGAGGGTCATCTTTATGAAAGAGAAGTCAACCATGCTAACTGATGCCCAGCATGTTGCACCAATGCCGCAGGATTAAAGTGGACCACAAGTGGCCAGTCCAGAGTGTGTATTAACATCTGCAGTGGATGAACACCATCTCAAAACCCTGCACAAGCCAATGCAATACAGTGCAAGGTACAACAGATACAGTGGGGCAAATAAATATTTGATACACCACCGATTTTACAAGTTTTCCCATTAACAAAGAATGGACAGATCTGTAATTTTCATCGTAGGTACACCTCAACTGTGAGAGACAGAATCTACAAAAGAAATTCCAGAAAATCACAGTTAGATTTTTAAATATTCATTCATTCATTTTATACCGTTTAGTCCCCGAACGGGGTCACTGGATTTTTAAATATTTCCATTTTATTGCATGAAATAAGTATTTGATACAATAGAAAAATAGAACTTAATATTTGCTACCAAAACCTTTGTTTACAATTACAGAGGTCAGACGTTTCCTGTAGTTCTTGACCAGGTTTGCACACACTGCAGCAGGGATTTTGGCCCACTCCTCCATACAGGTCTTCTCCAGATCCTTAAGGTTTTGGGGCTGTCACTGGTCAACGCTGAGTTTCAGCTCCCTCCATAGATTTTCTATTGGGTTCAGGTCTGGAGACTGGCTAGGCCACTCCAGGACCTTGAAATGCTTCTTACGGAGCCACTCCTTGGTTATCCTGGCTGTGTGTTTGGGGTCATTGTCATGCTGGAAGACCCAGCCACGACCCATCTTCAATGCTGAGGGAAGGAGGTTGTTGCCCAAAATCTCATGATACATGGCCCCATCCATCCTGTCCCCTTTGCAGAAAAGCACCCCCAAAGCATGATGTTACCACCCCCATGCTTCATGGTTGGGATGGTGTTGTTGGGATTGGGATTGTACTGATCCTTCTTCTTCCTGCAAACACGACGAGTGGAGTTTATACCAAAAAGTTCGTGTTACTAATGTAATCGTTGAGACTGCGGTCCCAGCTCTCTTCAGGTCATTGACCAGGTCCTCCCGTGTAGTTCTAGGCTGATCCCTCACCTTTCTCAGAATCACTGATACTCCACGAGGCGAGATCTTGCATGGAGCCCCAGTCCGAGGGAGATTGACAGTCATCTTGAATTTCTTCCATTTTCTAATAATTGCGCCAACATTGTGTCTATTGTCCTGTAGCCCATCCCAGCCTTGTGCAGGTCTTCAGTTTTGCCCCTAGTGTCCTTAGACAGCTCTTTGGTCTTGCCCATAGTGGAGAAGTTGGAGTCTGATAGATTATGTGGACAAGTATTTTTTATACAGGTAATGAGTTCAAACAGGTGCAATTAATACAGGCAATGAGTGGAGGATAGGAGGGCTTCTTAAAGACAAACTAACAGGTCTGTGAGAGCCAGAATTCTTGCTGGTGATCAAATGCTTATTTGCCCCACTGTACAGCATGATTTTAAAAGAATACTAAACCTGTACTACTTAAGTTACTTAGCAGTGGTCATTTATTGATGTTTTGCTTGCAAAAAATTGTAGACCAAAGACAAAAAACTGTTTTAATCATTGTTTTACACATAGAAAATAAACGCTACAATAAACAGCATTGTTTTTCTCAAACCCACTTTGGCCCAACACCAAGAATATGTATAAAAAAATGTGGGCATTGACACTATAGCCTGTATTTCTATGGGCAAATAGTTCCCTGTTTAGTGACTGACAGGTACTGTAGACCCATTCACCCAACAAACCACTTCCAAGCATTCCACCATGTCATGACGTGGCCACATCATGTGCGTTTTCATTAACAGTCACACCACCAAAACCACATTTGAACAAGTTTCTGACCTGACTTGCACACGTACAAACACAAGGCCCTGAGCGAGAGGAGGGAGAGCTAGAACGGGCCTTAATACCCCGTGCAGCCACAAAAAGGCCTCACAGCACAATTACAAGCCAGAAAAGATTAGCGTCTTGCAGCACTAGGAACAGAATGGCTTTTGTTTTCTTCAGGACAATGTGTTCATTGGGGCACATCATGCCGAATGAGACAACCAGTGTGGATGCAAATGCTATTGCTGCTGAAACGATGCGGTCTTTCTCACCGAGCATCTTTTTTATGTCTCTGCCTGTTAAGTTCACAGTGAATATTCATGACATTAAAAGTAGCAATCAAAAATCTGTATAAGGACAAGCTGGCATTTCATAGTTTCCAACACATTAAGTGAAAAACCCTGTTGCCCTTGAAGTGGATCACCAATTCATGCACTAAAAACATCACTGACAGGAAACCTGGAGAAACCTCTCTATAGGAAAGAATCCTTTCTCATCAAGGGAACTGAAAGTAACGAGGACACTGACTTTCTCCTAATTTCAGCCCTTTTTGTGAAAGTGTGTAAAAGAACTAACATTTGTACTTGCAAAAACGTGCGGTCAAAGAATTAGATTGCTGTACAGTAACTTTGCTCATAAAGAAAGCTGTTCAGCACTCACACAAGCATCTACTCAAATGTATCCTTTCTCCAGTTGGAATCATAGCCTTACCTTTGCCTTGACTTGCTAGGAGGGTAAAAAGACATAAGGTGAATAACAGTCCAGTCTTCAAAAGCATGGTGTGTTGATATATGTCACTTTCAAGCCTGAAGTTTTCATTTGTAAAGAGACTGTTGCGAAACCACAGTAAAAATCTGGAATGCGTTTATCTTGAGTCCATTAACAGAGTGTGCACACGTCTCCTCACTGGTGCTGTCAAGGTCTTCGCACACACCAGAGGAGGGCGTTGAGTCCCCTCCAGCTCAGTTCCTCAGCAGCATTTGGATCCCTGTAGAGAACAGAGGTGGTTGCATGGATGAGTGAGAAGAGGGTGCAAGGGACTGTGAAGCAGCAGAGGGAGAGATGAAAACAGATGGAATTGTGGCTCAACAATTTTCTTCTCCCCCGTCAGTGGTCAAACAAACAGTGACAAGGTTAAAAAAGCAGGCTCTGTCTTATCTCTTTATCTTCTTCTTGCTGCTGGTTGTAATCCCTACAGGGCCACGTGGCTGCCTGGCCTCATCCTGTTAGCCGCCTTCTGGACCCTCATCTGTCAGCTGAACAAATTTGGGGATCTGTCACTCAGTTGAGACCAGATAACTACTCCCCACAGTTGGCCCAAGTTGAATCCTGACACCCAGCTGTTAGTCTTCACCTTGACCCCTTCATGTAAAGAGAAAGAATGATGTCTTATTTTCATATCATATCCAGTGAATTCCAGTTATTTATAAACACTTTAACCTAACAGGACGATGGTACAAATGTCTGGAAGGAATAATTTGGAAGCCATAAGGACAGAACTTGAAAGCAGTGTTGACCTCATAAAGCAAATGTCACTGAATCATATTTCACTTTATCCTAAGTTGTCTTAAATAAGCTACTGTTATTAAGACAATGTGTTAGCTGATTTATGTAGGCATTGTAAAAATTCAGAAGGTTAAAAACTTGTTACTCTAACTTAGAATAAGTTAACAAAAGTAAAAGAGGTTTTTATCAGATTTATCTTTCCAGCCACTGCTGTATGCTCAGTTCAACCAAAGATTCTTTTCTCTCTCTGTTTTATTTAGGTAGTTTTCAGAGAAATAAAGGTGTCCAGTTACTCACATGAAAAAAATCTAAGGCTAAAGGCTAAGTCTGGCAAGCCTTTAGATTTATAACAACTGCTTTAGAGGATGAATAAGGGCATGTTGTGTGTGTACATTTACTGCAGAAGAAGTCTTACTGTCATCATCTTCCCTCCAGCTCCCCTGCATGTCGTACTCCTGTTCCAGGGTCAGTGGCTCTGAGGTGGTCAGATGCTGCAGCTCAAGACGCTTCATCCGTTCATGATGCCTGAAGAGTGTAAACAGGTGGATAAGAGACAGAGACTGCAGGTTTCTACAGCTTTAACTTAATCATGTATCCAGATGCCAAAGGACTGGAGCTGGTTCTGCTGTGCCAGTTAAAGAGACTTCAGACTGTCAAAGGATCAAAAGCTTGTATTGACAGCTGGGTCAGATGTGTCATCTGTCCAGTTATTTCTGCACCACAAAGAGCTTTCAAATGCTCCATGACAAATAAGACTGTATGATATTACATGTTATTTTTCTTCCGGGGTTGCTTCCGCTCCCTAGTGCACATGTCCACTAGGGGGCGGTAGGGGGACAGCGGCCAAACTTTCTCAGTCTCCAGCATTGAAATATCTGCCGTGCACACACTGACAAAGTAAAAATCACATGCAATTACAAATACATTTGGACACGCTTTTATTAGCAGATGGAAATCGCCTCAAGGCGTTTCACAAACGATGAACACATTTATTAGCACTTTTATTCAATTATTTCAGACTCTGTACATGCACATGTGTGTCTGTGGATCTGTTCATGTTTGGTTGCTTAAATGGCTCTGCCCAATCCGTGCCACAGCTTCACCGGCTCTTGTGGAGTGTTGACCATGTCCATCCAGTGCTGCAGCTGAGGGCCTCTGACGTACATGGAGGGCCCTAACACCAGCACTCCCAGTAGGACTGGAGGCTCTGGGAGAAAGATATATGAATATCACTGTGTCAGTGTTTCAGATCTTATCTGCAGCAATATTAGGGGAGTGCCCCGCCTCCCCAACGGTACCCCTGCCCCCCATTGAAGGTCAAGTTAATTTTATTTAATTCATTTTCTATATAGCGCCAGATCACAGCACGGAAAAAAGCATGATGAGGAAAGCAGTGAAAGGTGAGGTGAAAGTTTACTCAGGTTAAGCCCACACATGCTTTTAACTATGTGCAATAAAACTTATACAAGTAAAAAAGCCAGTCAGAATAATTAATCAAAACATCAAGAGTCCGTGGCTAAGTGAAACCAGCACGGTGGCAACACGGAGAAAGGTACCTGTAATTACTGGTGTCATGGGGGCAGCTCAGGAGGATTCCTGGACTGTCCAATGTGTCAGTGATTTAGATTGCAAATGGGTGAATGGCCAAGTAGTGTAAAAGCCAGCATAAAACACAGAAATGCACTATACAAGTATAAGACAAACACATTATTTAGAGAACTTTCTTTATTTTAGAAAACTCAGCTTTCCTCATCACCTTCCTCCATGTTTCCACCATGCTGGTTTCAGGAGGCTCCGTATTTCAGGATTCACTTAGCCACAGAGTCATGAGGTTTTGATTAATTACTCTGACTGGCTTTTTTTATTTATATGAATCCTGAAACCTGCAGGATGGAGACACATAGATATATATAATATATAGACGTATTGCACATCCTGGCTCCCCCTTGCCATAGCATTAGTGTTGTACCTCACTAGGGGGTCCTTGCCTAATTAAAGGTCAAGGTCAAAGTGTTTATTTGTCATATGTACAGTTAGGAAACGTGTTTTCCTGTACAATGAAATTCTTACTTTGTCGTCCACATGAATGCCACAAAATACAAGTGAAATATAAAGTAGATGAGCAATAACACAAATCTAAATAGGCAGTAAAATCACAAATCTAAGGCACTTTAAAGCAGCAAGTGAAGGAAGCAAATAAATATACAACAAGAATACAATATAATGCAGAGGGAATATTTGCTACGTGGGAGCCGTGGAGTGCAAATACTCAGCAGTGAGTCCTCTATTAATTAAGGACCCACAGCTGGAATTCACGCCCTGAACCCCAGTCCTGTCGTACCAAAGTCAGTGGTGTTACCCACCGAGCTATGTCTAGTGTATTTTGAGTTTCATTATATTCATAATTTTGATATTTTTCCCAAGATAAACAAATCCTTGTTTGTTTCAATCAGGGTTTTATTCTGACGAGCTTGACCTTCTCCCACTGGCTGGTGACTTGAATCATTGTCCAATTACAGAGGTCAGTTTACATTATGCAACAGAGGAAAAGTGGTACTTGCCATCTGTCCAAAGTGGTTATTTCATTAGGGAGAGAGCCTAAGTGTCACTGGCTGGGGGGGGGGGGGGCAGCAAAAGCCACCTCTGCTCTTATATCTAGCATCTGTAGGCACTACAGATAACTATGTGCGTGCATGTGAGTGAAGCATCGGTGCCAGTACACATACATGGTTTTATGCAATGGTTTGATTCAGAACTCTTTTAGCCAAATAATGTCCATTTTGTTACTAATTTCTCATCCTAATTAATATAATATTTGCATTCAAACACTGATGGATGAAAACAAACTCTTCAGTAACATAAAACATAAAAGCTATATCACATTATCAGAAATGCTCCAGTATGACCCAAGTTAAAAGTTCTCTGCCTATATTCTGAATGCTAGAAAATAAATAAAGCAGTTTGCTATAATTCGCTTTGGTTCGAAATCACAGGACCGCCATTATCAACAAATAGCTTCAGTTTATTTCACTGAGGTGTTAAAAACCAACTGCTTGAGAGTTGATACATGCTGAGGTGTAAAGGAAGTATTATCTGACACATTAATTTAAGGAGGCTATGCTGTATGAATGCTTCAAGCCAATTACAGCTTCCATACAACACAAAATGATATGACTGATAAAAGAAACGCTGGCATGATGGTGATTGTGACGGAACATGCAAATTTAATAGCTGATCATCTTGCCATACATAACTTAGTCCTCTATTGAATATGTAAAACACACCATGCTCAAGTTTGGAAAACAATCAGCAATACCATGAGAGCATTCAGGAGTATTTAACATAAGAGTGCTTTTTCACTTCAGAAACAACAAAGGAAGCAACAACTACTGTTGTATACCTTACTCTAAGTCAGTTTGGATCTGTCTCACTAACTTCAACAAACCTAAATGTGTCCATGCTACATATAACAAAGCTTTAACATCAAAACAACAGGAAAAACTAAAGCTCCAACTTCTCTGAAATTTCAAGGTATCAGCTCGTATTCTAATGTTGCAGAAAGGACAACTCAGACTGTGATGATATCAATACATACACCTGGGATCTCTGTCCTGAAGGAGTCATCATTAAGTCACCTGCACATGTGACCAAGTATCGGACTGAGATGGTTTTAAGATCTGCAGCTAAATTAAATACACGCAGCGACAGCTTAAAAGGGGACCTGGCTTCACAAGGGGTTTCACACAGGATTTTCTACACAAGCTGACAGATGAAAGTCTAGAGATTAATCGTGCATGTCTTTGTTCTCTATATGAGGCACTGGCATAGATGACCAGGAGGCTTTCCTCCAGCTGCCTGAGCTCAAGAAGATTTAAAAGGCTGTGTTCCCATGCTGGTAGAAGCAAGATGGAAGGATGACTCTCTCCAGTGAAATGGAGCCTGTTTAGTATGTTTCCCACGAGGAGACTTCATTTTATCTGGGAGTAAGGAGTAAAGCAGCAGGAAAGGCAGTGATACAGAGCGGGAGGGAGGGAGGCATGGAGATGCAGATGACAAAAGGAACCGAAAATGAATGAGCAAGAGATAAGTGAGAAAGAGAATGAGGATGAAACGTGTGAGGCATGATGGATGGGAGGCAGAGAGGCAGACATCAGAGGGAGGAGGAAATGTAAGAATAGTAGGTTGAACCTGGAAAAACAAAGAGGAGGAAAGTGCGAGAAGCAGAGGAGGAGGTCAGGTCAACTGACAGCATCAGGGACACATTTCTGTCACAGCATATTAATCTACACCTGCTTACAGGTCATGGCAGCATAAAAACTAAATCCACTGCAGAACATAAACCTGTCAACACTGCAACAGCCACAGGTCGACACATGTGTTGCTGTGCTTTTAACAGGGCTGATTAGGCATGAAAAGTCACATCAACATGAATTAAATTTAAAGCTCAATGTGGTATATTTTTACTATAAGTCAGTCAAAGCAGATAGTATAGAGGGTTATCTGTGCTCTTATTCCTGCTCATTCGTGCGTTTACCTTGAGATTAAGTGGATCAGACAGTTTTAATCATGCCAGCGTGGCTTTACTGAGAGTCAAGAGCTCTTGCTTTGTCTGAGAGCTCTTGCTTTCCTCACTGCATTTGAATGATGAAACGGCCATGACATTCCTTATTTATGGAATTTACGTAAAAGAACAATACCTGCCAGGGTGCAAAATTAAAGGTGCCCCAGACATTAACCTCTCTCTGAACATTCACTCTACGATACATTGCAGCATAAGGATACAAAGAGGACTCAGCTTTGTGGCAAAAGAAACATTTTTAAAATTAGTTTTAGATAAGTTGACCTTTTCATCTTGGTTATGTACATTTTTGGTTGTTAAAGTTATTTTTACTGGCCAGTCTGTGACCTGAAGTCCATTGCATCAGGTGTCACAGAGTAACATGTTAGCTTCAAACTGTTAAGGGATAAGAACACTGCTTCCACTCTATTTTAAATCATTTTTCCATTGGCCTACATCTTTCTCCCTCTTCAATAACAATAAATAAATCACCTACTTGTCAGTCATAGTCAGAAAACCTGTTTAGGAGGGGCACCAGGTTTGGCCAGTGTCACTGCCACCTCCAGTATCTCCACCAAACCCCAGCTCCTGAGGTGAGCTGAAATAAGTTTTCCCTGCAGGGTGGCTGGCTTTTCTCTAAATCAGGGAATACTTGCACATATTTGGTTCTGGTAAGGGAAGAATTTGTGGACTTCCATAATGACAGAAAGTTGACCTGGATAAGTAGATGCAGATTGACAGACAGATGGCTAGGAAGGTTGGGAAATAAACCATATAGAATTTATCCAACCTCCAGAGACACAGAGAGCATGATTTCTCCCGGTTTCAATGAAGGATACTTAATGTATGTGTGGTGTGTAATGGACGTAGGTTGTGGAGATACAAAAGCTCCATTATCGCCACTCTCTGTCCCAACATGTCCTTTTAGGAAAGCCAGACAAGACGCTAATAGGTTGGTGCTGGATATTTAAGAGCCAGACAAGATGCTAATAGGTTGGTGCTGGATATTTAAGGTTAATATTAGCTTATTGAAAGTAAGTGGCTCATAATACAGAAATTAAATAAGCAAAAAGCTTGTTTTCAAACTGAGATGGGGGAAGTTGGAGGGGTGTGTGATGAGAAAGTTAATTATTAGAATGACAAGAAGCTTGGGGGGGTTGTAGACAAGGAAAAGGGCTGAATTGGACTGTGTCAGGCAAATTTCATGCTAATAACTCCAGTGACATTTCAATGAAAATGTGAAATTACAAACATGCTAGTCAAGTTGTCATCTCAGCATGCCTTCTCATGCTTCATATCAAAAGGTTAATGTACAACAAATTATCCCCAAGGCCAGGTGGAAAACTTATTTCTATTCTTAAAGCCTGAAACTCACACTCACATGATGTGTCAGCACAGCCAGACTGAGCACCAAACCAAATCAGCTGAATTAACTTGTTTTGTATCAGGCTATTAGATGTCAGTATTCCTATTTGACAACCCACACCAGTTGTCACAACAAAGAGTAAACAAAAAATGCACCACGCTTCACAAATCAAAGTCTTAAATCACATGTATGTGATTCATTCATTCAGGTGTCGAAAAAGAAACACCAGGGGAAGTTGCTTATTATAATTTGGGCTGCTTATCAATACCACCAACAGTGGAGAAGTGATGGCAGGGTAATTTAAACCCCTTTGTTTCTTGTAAACAAAGACATGCTCTGAGCAATGTCATTACACAAATGAACACAATCACAGGCAGTAAACTACAAGGAAAACTAACAGTAACTAACAGAACCATATTCTACAGATAAACACATGTATTAAGAACAAAGGACTCACACAGCCAAACAGTTGTCATCCATGAGGGAGCTCGGTGTTCTCGGGTGTAGGCGGGACCACCAGGCCAGACTCCTCCTCCTTCCTCCTACAGGTTTGCTCTTCACAACAGTTTTCTCTGAACCTGTAGAGGAGCTACTCAGAAATGAGGATCAAGCAACTGGCAGCTTGCGAGAGATCCCTTGCTCCCTATTATATAGCTTTATTATTGCATGAATTATACTTGTGAAAAATGGCCCGGCGGTGCAGCCAAATAGTTATAAAAGAAAGAAGTGAAGGAGCGCTACAAGGAGGAATAAAATGGTCCCACTCTGCCTTCTAACGAGGACTCGATAAAGTTTAGTGTGCTTGACCTCTGAGCAGGGAATCTCAAGTTCAGCACAAATCAGCCTGTAAAACTCTTACTTCTCACTAAGTAATCAAAGTGTTTTACAGCATCATTAAGTGGCAGGGGTTGTTTGTTCAGAACATAGCTAATATGCAGATGAAATTATGTACATCAGACCCAATAATGTGATGTTTAGTTCCACAGACAGTTAGTCTGATTATCCAACAAGTTTCCCCAGATGTTGAGCCTGCTGCAGTTAACAGGAGTACCTACCCAACCCCAGACGGCTGGTCAGACTGACAGACAAGTGTTTGAAATCATTTATATCAAACTAGCTATTAGGAAAGCTATAGGAGGCTTGCATTGCTAAGCTGCCCTGTATACGTTGTTGCATTTCTTGAATCTCTACAACAACTGTGGCAAGTCTGTCATGACAACCAGCACAAGTTTTAATGGGATTTAACAAGTCAATTGATCCAATATTCTCAGCCCACAGAGGACCATCAGTCACTATAATATACCAGTGATGTGCATGAATGGATCATTTAACAGAGCCTTCAGCAGCGTGCACACCTCCTCCACCTCCGCTACATATAGCTGTCAGGCCAGAGTGAAAATTAGGTGTGACAGATTCACCAAGCTCCAAAAGCGAAGGTCCCAAAAATGTAAACTCAGCCAGTGAAAATGATCACCAGTATGGTGAGCTGCAAAGGATTGTAGCAAAGATTTGGGCTACAAAGCAGATTCCCATGTTAAGACTCAGAGAGGCCGAAAACATGTTATCACAGAAAGATGAGCTGAAGAAGAAGCTAATGCAAAGTGCGCCTCTAACCCGACCTGCTTTTCTGAAAGGCAAAGAAACTGCTTGTGGCCATGGATCTGCTATGAAGCACAGAGAGAGCGCACGTGTCTGAAGGCTGTGAGTTAACATACATACAAACACACACATACATACATAGAGTGAAACCTTCCTCCACACATAAGCTGAGGTGTCAGTAACAAGTAATGATGAAAGCAGAATGTGAATTTATGGTTCTGCCAATAGATATTGAATAAAATTGTTTATGTATTATGAACATTGACACTGGCTGTTGTGCCTGTGAATGCAGATGGATGGGTTTACCACAGGGCTAATTTAAGTGGTTAACATTTTAAATAACTTAAAACTATATGCAAGAAGATATATTACAAAAGATAAACTTTTACAAGTAAACCATACTAGCCTTAGTCTTCATTCTGACACATTAAGAGTAGGTCCGATTTCTTACAAAATGGTAAATAGTGGCATTAGAATGAGGGTTGTTAAAAACTAATATCAGACCCCACCTCTAACTATCGTTCACCCTCAGTCTCCTTACCTTCCTCCGTTGTCCTAATAGATGACTTGCAGGTTCATTTTCCTTCCTGTCGAGGTCAATCACCTTGGTAAGGTAATTTATTAATAGCAGATGGGCCCTTGTGCCCCCACTTTACAGGTGATGAATGCTGTAGACCTTCTTAGATCAGAAAGGGTGAAACCATAAAGCTGCTAACCAAAGCTACATACAGTGAAAAAAAATTATTTATAGGCTTATTATCTATAGCCGCAATGTCCTGTACTCCACAGCAGAGAAGTGATGCAGCACATTCAGTTAATAGAAAAAAAAATCTGGTTGTATAATCAGTGCATTTGCTTTCACGATGCAATGGTTCGATATGAACCACAAGACAATGTGTAGTTCTCTGGAGGTGCAACAGTGTTAACTACACAAGTCATGCAATACCTCTGACTAAGCAAAGTTATAAATCATGTTTGTTAAACATCTACAGTTTTCATGTGTGAAAGTTTTAAAATTAAAAAGGAGAGGGACGACATCTCCATTGACTCTATAAGGAACAGAGTTGTTCTTTTACAGTAATGGAGGGTCATAGGAACACTGAATAATTTCAAACATTAGGAGCAGTTACATTGACTTGGACACTATTTTCTATAGTAAGAAATTGAAATTAATGGCAATAATTAAACTTGTGACATTTTAAGTTAATAACATGTCAAAACATGTATGCACCTTTTATAACCTTTTTGGCTGTCTCCCTCAAATATTTGGCCATTTTAATAGATTATGTAGCCTACCTAGCTGCTGTAACTAGCTAAATTAACACGAAAATGTCAGTGACCAGACAACTTCTCATCCTGTATGCGGGTGTGTATTCTAGCCACCTTCTCATGAGCAAGGTCAACCACAGCTGTTCACTGTGCACTAGTCTTCTCCAGAGATGATTAATGATTTTGTTTGTATTGTGCTGTGATTGAGATAAAAAGAAAGTGCATTATAAAGACTTTATCATTATGTTATTGGAACGTTTGTTTATATACTTTGTGGATGGTCAGCAAGAAGCTTGAACTTCTAACCAAGTTTCTAAAAGCTCTTGTTATTACCCCTTGTCCAATAGAGGTTTCTCTGTTTATATCAAATACTCCTGGTTGGCAATATATGATAGAAACCCCAATATAATGTGAAAACTATACTGTAAGAAGCTCATGCTCTCCCTCTTGTCAGTAGTTCAGCATATACAGTAAAATACCACAGAAACACCTGGAAAGTGCTTTGAGCATCTGTCTGCACTCATGTTTCATGAATGATGACCCATATGAAAATTCAGATTCGTATATAAGCCAAAGGGCGTGCACGTTTGTATGTGCAATGACACCACCTGTGTGGGTGAAGTACACTAGAAAAGCACCGCCCCCCCGTCGATCTCAGGACTTATTGAGCTGTGACAGCTGTTGACCACACAGACCGAGTGCTCTGTCCTCTGCACAGAGACTGAACGGGGAGGAAGATTATGGTAAAATCAAACATTAGAGAGAATCTCAGCTGCAACAGAATCTCAACAGAGAAAACATGAGGAGTAACGCTGTGATGTGAAAGGACGCACATTCTCCTAAATCGAGCTCTGCTGTTTTGCAAATGCCTCAAGAGGCTGATGGTTTTCATTTTTACATCATCATCATCATGCGATGGGGCCATTAATCTTTTATTAGATTTCAAGGTAACGCAATGAAAAGTCATAAAACAAGTTACCTGTCAGATTGTTTGTACTGTTTTCAACATCCCAACAACAATGAAAGAAACAACTATAACTGTATAAACCAATTATTTGGAGTCATAAAGTAATTTGACATAAAACTGCATTAAAACTCTCTCTTATAAAAACACTTGTGCAAAACAAAAACTCAAAAGCCTTTATTGCACAGCATCTCTGTTGTGGTCAGATACAACATTACACCCTTATTTCAAATAATGACTGACAACCTTCAGTATTATTTTTGCAGCCTCAAAGGCCAGACCCAGCAGCAAATCATTCTTGATATCCAGGAGGCATTTAACAAATGACCATAACATACTGTAGATACAGATTTAATGTAGCAGCAAACAAACCTCACACACACACACAAATCAGAACAGTGATGTTTGTTCAGTAAAATTGAACTTATCATCAGTGTTGCTGGGTAAATATCAGCTGCAGTTTCTGTGGGTGGCACTGATATTGCATGAATCTCTTCCACAGTACAGTACAAGCAGACATGAGTGTGCTTTTCTAAATAAACAGCCATACAGAGCAGCACAATTCAAAGACGTTGTAATTTCACAAAATGCATATCATCCTGAGTTTTAAAAATCACACTGCCACATGTGTACACAAATGCAAAATGAAGTCTGATTCATTTAGCAAGACTTTTATGTTTTTAACTTTCAAAATCATGTCAGAGGTTTGTGGTCTCTGCTGTGTACTGGTATTAATGGGTCAGTCTTCGCACGGGAATAACGCGCTGGGTGATGCTTTAAGATAATGTGCCAATAATTAAGAATCCATATCGAATACCCATCGCTTGATTTTTTTCTTTATACATTAAAGAATATACGCCTATTAAAATGAACTTAAATGACACGTTCAAGTGATTCTCCGAAGTGCGTAAAACTGGATTTTTGAACCAGATATCAAACTGTCATTTCCACCCATCACGCTGCAACAATATCCATCTTGAGAACTAATTCAGCTTTATGTGCAGTAGTAAATCTTTTGAAAACTCCAGCAAGTTTAACAACGGTCCGATCAGAGGTGTAAGCCAATCAGTGACAGCATCGCTGAAGAAAATGTTTGTATTTAAGTCTTTAAAGTAGTTTGCAACAGCATGAGTCTCACATGTGGTTATTCGTGGCATTCTCACTATTCTATATTATTCTCCTACATGTTAGAACGTTATATCAAACCAAGTCCATAAACAAATCTTAGTGTAGACAGAAGGAACATTTTCTCACGATCGGCAGCATTTGAAGCACATAAGTTTATGAAAAGCTTTCTTAAAGTCCTCATTAGACATTGTGTATATGATCGGGTTGATGAGCGAGTTCAAGTATCCCAACCAAGTGAAAAAATCAAATAACTCGGGGTTCAAACATGTATCACATGTGGCCACTACCAGTGTGTAAATGAAAAACGGTAGCCAGCAAACGATGTAAGCGCCGAGGATTATTCCCAAAGTCTTCGTCGCTTTTCTCTCTCTGCCTGCCGAAATCCGCTTTTTTTCCAAAAGCGCGTCCGACACCGTCACTTTCACCTGGTTCTCGCTTGCTGAAAACCCGGTGTCGCTGGACGGCGCGTCGTGTCTCCAGCACCGACTGAAGAGATGTTGTGGACGCTACGGATCCAGGGGAGTTGGTGACCAGGTGCGCCGAGGTGAGTCTCTTCCCCACCTTCTTGGGGGACTGTTTGAGGATCCGTTTACGAGCCTCGACGTATATCCGCCCGTAAAGGACAATAAGCAGCAAGGTGGGGATATAAAATGCCCCAAAGGTGGAGTAGATGGTGTAGAAAATATGATCATTGTTGACGCTGCAGCTGGTCAGCTCATCCGCCTTCACCTGCCTCCAGAAGAGAGGCGGCAGGGAAATGGAAATGGCGATGACCCAGGCTGTGGCCACCATCCCAGCTGCGCGTCCTGGCGTGCGCTTTTTCGAGTACTCCACCGCGTCCGTGATGGCCCAGTATCTATCCAGGGCGATTACGCACAAATGGAGGATGGACGCAGTGCAACACGTTATGTCCGAGGAGAGCCAGATGTCGCATACGACTTGCCCCAGCGTCCAGGTGTGGATGACGGTGTACAGGACGCAGATTGGCATCACCAGAATAGACACCAGCAAGTCTGTGATGGCCAGAGAGGCGATCAGAAAGTTGGCAGGAGTTTGCAGTTTCTTTGACTGCGAGATTGTTGCAATGACAAACGCATTGGATAAAGTGGTGGCGAGTGTGATAACAGAGAGAATCACCGCCAGGCTGATTTGATAGACGAGACTATCTGCGCTCTCCTCCACCGAAGATGAAGCTATAATAAAACTACTGTTTGTGGTGTTCATCGGCCGAGTTGGTTCGACTTGGCGCTCCATAACTTTTTGTCACTTTAATGTTACCCTCTGAGATGTCTGACATTTAACATGCCCTTTTTCTTGACTTGTCTGAGCCATCAGGTTAAATAAATATGATCGCTCAGGGAAAAAACCGAATCCTTGCTTCCTTTTTATATTCTGTTACATTAGGTTTGAGTGTGCAGATGCCCCAAAATGTGGAATCAGATATCCATCCGTGGGAGGAGCTCGAACTTTCCGTTTTTTTACCAATAAAAGAAAAGTTCCTGATTGTAATATTACACGGCGAATAAGACGAGATATGAGTGTGTAAATGATGAGCAGCCGGTCCTGATGTCCCACCATTTGGGAAGATGTCACAAATAATCCGCATCTAGGGCACAAGTTCTCAGGAGCCCTCCTGTTCTCCAGGCCCCCTGTGGTTGAATGGTGGGCCAACCCAAAGTCTCCCTTTTATACAGACTCTGACATCAAACAAGCTGATCACCACCTTGTTTTCTGTGTCTCTGTTGAGGAAGAGGTGGCTATCTGCTGGGTCATAGTGCCCAGTGTTTCTGATTTGTGACATATCATATGGGTTGAACTGGAAAAATGCCTTCTATTACCACAGGGGTACCAGTTTCTTTATTAGCTTTATTAGCTTTATTATTTTGTGAAGGATTAGTTGTACTGCATGGTTTTTGCTTTGGGGATCCTTAATAAATAATTAGGAAGAACAAGTTTTGGTTGGCAGGTTGTGAAAAAGCTCTGGCTCTGTAATTATAGTCTAGTCATTAATAAATCACCACTAAAGGTTTTAGAGTTACTCTCTTTACAAAGTTATTTTAAAAAAGAGTCCAGTGTTCCCCATGACAGGTCTAATAAAGTTAGCGGGTCATGTGCAATTATAAAAATGCAAATAAATACATAACACAATTAATTAAAGTTCTTTTCACTATATCAGATTACAGTTACTAAACACAAATAGTACTTCAAGTTGACTTTTGTGATTAATTCCAAACTGATGCTTTTGTTTAGTAACATCGCTTAACCAGGGAAGGAATCCAACACAGACAGAACAGATCTCACAAATGAATCTCCAGACCTCTACCTTTGGAAATTCAATATGCATACACATTCCTGGCTGAGCAAAGAGCACATAAGGGACTGAAGTATTTTTATTTCAAATAACTGCCTTGTGGAAGAGATTAAAACTGACTGAATTGCAATAGATCATTTAATGATACTGATTCCTCAGTGAAAGCATGCTATTTGACCACGCGCCCAATAAGTTTAAGATCTGGATTTTTTAAAAATAAGCTGTTAATAAGTGAATGTTGGTTGAGATGCTCTGCAGCCCTTTTCCAGAAGGTCAGGCTGTCCTCTGGAGGAGTCAGCATGATGAACTAATGAGCTAAAAGTAAATGGGTACAAGGTATAATGAGAACGGTGAGAATTCACAGTCTGCCACAGCCAAGTAATAGGTAGGTAGGGCCTTACGACATGCCTTCCTAAAAGTACTAGGTAGGTAGGGCCTTACGACATGCCTTTACATTGGTAAAACTGACTTAACTTCGGTGGTGCTGCTCGTCCAACTTATGGATGGAGACTTTAGGAAGAGGAGTTCACGCACACTGAATCCTGACACTTTTGGCACTTCTGTTGTGTGAAAATGGCTGTGGTTGATATTGACATTGGGTCACAGTCAGTTACACACAAGGCCGTGAGCATCTCTTTCAGTGGATGTGTGTGTTGTCAAGCTCACTGATTTTCTCAGCAGAGGCTGAAAGGAGCCAATAATCTATTCAAGTGCCCTACAATTTTTGGGGAAATAAATTTTAAATCAGGTCAGAAAATTTATAATAATCAGTCTCTGAACCCCCTCCATATGCAAGCACTCATGCACATGCACATGCACACACACAGACCAGGACAATGTCCATGTTCCAAACTGAGGAACTGAAATGTCTCAGAGTAATGAACCTTCTGTTACATATTTGCTTTCTATCCCAAGTGACTGTAGCAATCACATCTCAGCTTATATTTGTATTTTGCTCATTGGAAACTTTTAATTGAAATTGACTTGTCACCTACATTACACCCATTATTCCTCACAATCACACTTGACTGCTTACATCTGTGGTGCCCTGCTGGCTTTGTTAAGAGCTGAATGTTGTAGTTTTCGACATTTTGAGGCAATATTTTACAAAACACGTTATCTGTACCTGCTTTTTTTTATCTGTGGCCCTTGGCGTCTCGATTGTAAATGGTTACCCAAGTTTAAATTGTATAAAAAATGTTGTGGCCAATAAAGTTTTACATATTTTAGTGTAAGGATTCAAACAGTTATTTCTATCTTCACCAGTACATTTAATATGTCATTTTATATCTTTTTTTTTTGTTTGTTTGTGTTTTGAAAGCACTGAACCTCCCCAAAACTGACAAGTGATTTCTTAACCATGATAGTTTAAAGTTATATTTTTGAATGTTTCAATAACATACACAACTGCTGCTGAATCAGGACCACGGACAGCTCCTTCAGCTGAACACAGTGAATGTACATTTAGGCCATGTGTAGCATGATGACAGCACGCTAAGAAGAGCCTTTAATGGGAAGTTTAATTCACCTGAAGAAATACTGAATCATTTTTAAGGCTTAAAGCAGTCAGATCAAATATATAGAGCCTAAAATACAGGAATTAGCCCTCTAAAATATGCACCAGGTGTTAGTTTTGAATCAGAAATGTACCAATACTTTGATGTCCCTAATGAGCCCTGCTTGCTGGACACCAGTTAAATTGACATTCAAGAAAGCACAGCTCATTAAAAACTAACTAAAAACTAGCAGGAGTATTTGTGCTAATCTGTTCAGCATCATTTAGAGTCTAATGTAGCATGAAGTTATCACACAAACTAACAATGGATTTGTCTGGCATTGGAACAATTAGTTTATGGCAGGAGACAGAATCAACAAAGTCTCCAAAAGACATGCTACTGAAAACTGTTTCCAGTGAGGTTGAATATAGTCTAGGTCCCTGCAGAATAACAGGATCAAAGATTTCTTTTTTTATTTTATTTAGCACCACTGCTTGTGTTTGACAAGCGGGTCACGTCATTAAGGTGAATTTCAGTTACTGCTAACCTACTCTCATCCATAAAAACAGAATTTACATCATTAAAAAAAAGCATTGAACATCCCAATGAAGCAGAAATGTCGGCTCACTGATACTTTTCCAGGGAGAGGGAACATTACAGAGCATGGTGATATCTTTTTTATTGACTCGAACACTAAATTAATCCATAAGGCTTACTGTACAATGTGTTTTTTCTCCAATTCCAGATAATTGCTTTGGATGTTAATGAATTCTTTCAAGTGAGGCCACATCTGCTGTAAAAAGCCTTCATTGACTTTCTTGTAAAACATGATGATACTGTATATTCTGCACCCATTAAACATTACAAATGTCTAACTTCATCAGTAGAGTCAATATACTATATATGTTACTAAGCTATTCTGTGCCCGAAGCATTTTCTATTTCATATTCTATTTCACTTATATAGTGTTACTGCAGTCCAAAAGTGATGCTTTATTTGTTTGGGAGTTGCAGTTTTCTGAGTCAAAAAGCTTCAGTGCTAGTGACCCAGTTCAGCAGCAGCACGGGGCCGCTGCTGTTTTCATATCTCCTTTCATCCCTAAACACACTGCAGCATAGCGAACTACTGTAGCTAACTGCATCCAATCTCACACTGGTCCCAAAAGTCCTGCTTGTAATCAGGTGGTGAGGAAAGTCCTAAAGCAAGTCTTAAAAATGATACATTATACCACATTTTGAAGATAAAGTCTTTATTTATAATTTGGGGAATGTTGCATAAATATAAAAAAAAATAAAATATGGGCTTTCCTCAGTTTATTGGTGTTTTAATATATTCACTTGGGATGATTCGAAATGGTTTTCTAGTAATTGTTTTTGCTATATGTGGTTTTTATTTTAATGTCTGGCAGGAAAGGAGGCCATGTGGATTCTGGTGTAAGTTCATCATTGTCACAAAGTGTTTTTAGAAACTGTAATACTGTACATCCTAAAGCAATTGGTTAGAAACTGTACAGTACTGCTATTTTTTGCTTCAGTACAGGATGACTTTGCCACCACTATATATAATCCAAAAGCTGCATTATAGTACAATTATGGAATCAAAATATAGGACACTTGTCGCGGGGCCCGTCCCACTGCAGCGTGCCCAGGCCTGGTCTGACAGCATATGGTGCCTTCTGCTCTGCCAATCGGCACTCGAAAGGCCTCCTGCTAAAAATGAACCAGGAGAGACCTGAGCTTCTATTTACAAGTGGAGGCTTTCTGGGTTCTAGCTTTCCAAATCTGATGATCTTATGAAGAAGCTGATGCCACGATGTGTGTGTGTGTGTTTTGGGGGGAGGGGGTTGTGCTACTTTTCAGAGCGCTTGTGCCCCATTTCTGGGAGCCCCCACTGTGAATATTTAGTGAGTTACTTGTGTTTGCTTGAAAAGCATTTCAGCACACATCTAAGGAGGAAGGGGTGGAGATTAATAAATGCAATGTGTGTGGCTGAATTTTGTTCCCTTGAGTAAAACATGACAGAAAATTAGCTAAGTGGTGATGATGTTATGGAATGATAACAGGCTGGGTTACAGTAAGACTCATTATAGCTTGAGTGGAAATGGTCGAATCCATTTAGAAACAAAATGTTCTGATGGGAAACTGGACGTGGGCAGTGATGAGCTGTCAGCACTTTTAGCAGCTGGAACTTGTCCACTCTTTGAGGAGTAAAAGTGGAGTGTAGAATCAATTTATAAAGCCGTGACAACAACATGGCAGTGATACTATTGTGTGAGCCACTGAGATTTTGTTGTACATTGTATATCATTCTCTCTAAGCATTCACAGCGTGCAACTATAGTATCACAGATTAGATTAGATTCAACTTTATTGTCAGAGTCTGTCCCCTCTGGCCACACTTTGATGATCTTCGTTGATGGCTTCACACGGCGGATGAGTGGTGGGTACTTGGGAAAGAGGAACAAAGAAAGGTGATCTGACTGTCCCAAGTGGGGGACGGGGGTCGCCTTGTATGCAGCAGCCATGTCTGTGTAAATATGGTCCAAAGTTTTATTTCCTCTAGTGTGGCAGGAAACAGGCTGGTGGAATTTAGGGAGCACTGACTTTAGGTTGGAGTGATTCAAATCACCTGCAAGATGGCCTTATTTTAACAATTAAAGAAAGATTACCAAGAGGTATAGATTGCAAACACTGTAATTGATTAGGTTAGATTTACTGCTTCCTGAAGGGAGAAACTGTATGGTTTGTTTGTGTGTTTGCTTACATATGGGTGAGATTTGTGTGCTATAAGTGACAGAGTGTGAGTGCAAGAGGAGGCGACCAGTCTAA